GAGTCGAGCCACAGTGGCAGAGTGAGTAATGTGTTGATAGTACTGAGGTGGTGAGTTCTTCATCATAGTTGAGCTTCCCAAGCTGTGTGCCAACAAGCTCAGCAGTGCCACAGTCCATCAGACAGTCCATCACCCTGCTCACTGCAAGCAGGGATATATCACTGCTGGCACATTAAAACACACACAGGAGGACAGGACAGCAAACCCTCCATGAGCATGGGATATGACCGAAGAAGGGAATCTCTACGGGCCTCTTAATCTCACACAAAGGAGTGTTACGTTCACCCTAATGTGTGTGTGACTCATAACGAATGACTCAGACTCACCGGCTGTTACCATGTTGGGCTCGTGAAAAGTCCCACTGGCATCGCTTCAGGAGCACAAACCTGTCCAGTGTCTCCTGACACCAAACGCCACCCTTTAGCCAATAGGGCGGCAGGACCACTGGACTGAAAAGTACTCCTGTGCTGTTTCTGAAAATTCTTATCAGTAAAGATGACCCAGATTAGACAGGAGATACAGAGAAGACATGTTACTGCAGAAGTAAATGAACTGTTTCAGAAATATGTGCTGTATAATACAACACTTTATACGCCCATCGACAAGCTATTAAGCACTAATCTATGGCAATGGCCCGGACAAGCAAAGAGCTTTTAGAATGTTTGGCCTTGATTTGTGACCTTGACATCAGAGCTGGGGTGATGAAAAGTGGACAAGACACTCTGTCTAGTGATGATTCATATATGTGTAACGTTTTGCTTAATTATCTTGAGTGGATCAATAGGTGCCTGCCAAGAGACAGTTTTCAGACGAACGTATGAACGAAGACGATGCCATACGTGCACTTCGACAGGCGTATAAGTTTAATTTAAAGTTAGAGTAGAGCTTCAAATTAACTGTACTTCACTATACTTCCTGACAAAGCAATAATAGTATAAATATTAAGCTTAAAAAATTGAATTGTTAGAAGTTTTTTTTTTTTAACCACAGCTTAAAAGTACTGGGAGAGTCGGTGTTACAAAGATCTGCTGGTAAAGCTTTCCCTCCCATGTCAGAGAAGCAGGAAGCCGGAACGGTGAGGTGGCTGGATGAAGATGGACTGGACGTACAGTATTTCAACATGGATGAGTTCAGACAAAAGAGCTACTGTGGATTATGGATGGCTTTAAAGGTGAGAACCAGGTGTTTGAATTCAATGTAAAGTCAATAAAGATGATGCAAGGACTTTAGAGAGAAATCTAAAAGAGGAGAGTTAAAATAATCAATGGGAAATGTGACCAAGGACTGAACAAGTAGTTGAGATATGCATGGGCAAGATTTTTGTTTCCCAGATTAAACTTTACAAACAAGATTACATTATTTATATGAGTTGTATAGGATGGAGGACTAGCAAGAATAACACCCAGACTTTAAACCTGAGGGGAAGAGGAAATAACTAAATGATAGTGAGGAAGATGCTGACCGCTTTGAAAAAAGTCAATTTAGTACCAATGAGAAATACTTCAGTTTTGTCAGTTTAGTTTAAGGAAATGTTATGTGAACCAAAATTTTATTTCACAGAAACAGTAAGAGAATGAGGTAAGTGGAAAGGATTTAGAGAAAATGTGGGATTGGGTGTCATCTACAGAGCAATAAAATTTGATTTTTAAATGATAAATGGACTGTACTTATATAGCACCTTTCTATCTTATCAAGACACTCAAAGCTCTTTACAACACAATCTGTGTCCTCATTTACCCGTTCACACAGCACTCTACTAGATCTATACAAAGAATAATCAGAGCTTTATCACATTGATACACCGATGGGACACACATTGGAGGCAATGAGGGGTTCAGTCTTGCCCAGGGACACTTCAGCATGTGACTGCTGGTGGAATTGAACATGCAACTCTTGCATTGGAGGACTACTACTCTAACCACTCATCCACAGCTGATATATATATATATATATATATATATATATATATATATATATATATATATAGTGAAGAGGAGCTCAGCAGACTGCTGAGAGGAGCGGTCATCGCTCTAGGAGGAGTTCTGCCCGACATTGGGACGGTCCTACAGCCCGGGGGAACCGAGAGGCCAGCCGAGTCTGGGTGGACGGATCGGACAGCATCTGCAGCCAGTTTTTCAGGTTCCACTGTGGGATGGACCTTTACAAGAGATCCTTCCTGTCTACAGCCATCAGTATCTATAACATCTCTTAATGAAATGAGTATAACGAGTTACAACAACAAATAATTTCCCTTTGGGATTAATGAAGTATTTTTGAATTGAATTGAATTTGAATTTATACATAAATCAGGTCCATCTAATCACAAATATCCAGGAGATATGAAAAATACATCTCAGACCAGAGCTCAGGTCTCAGGAGGTTAAATATGAAAAACAAATGCACAATACATAATATTAAATGTTCAAAACTTCAAAGCTTTTGCAAACGTTGCACTTTATATATACTGATGAGGGTTCAAGTTAAATCCATGATGTGATCTTTAAATCACTACTTTACTGCACTGTTTTGATAGGACATCAGTGTGGACTATATTATCACCGCGTGGCGTGGGTATTTCGTTATTTTTACAAGCTGTACACCGATGTCCCCCGTCGCTGAGGGATTTGAATAGTGAATGTTTGTAGTTTTCAAGACAAGTGTTTTTTTCTGAACCTGAATTGAACAGGAAATGCAGGTATAATGTTTTGGTTACAAGATATTCAAGTGTGTAGGAGTTACACGGTATATAAGAACAGAGGTAGGTTTCATGTTTTTTCTTGTGCGAGGTTCAGCAGACTGACAGATCCTGGCGAGTGGACAGAACCATTTTATTCTCCACCAGGTGCAATGGTGGAGCCAGAGGGTGGCCAATCTTCAGCCACCCTTAGGGCCACCACAATCATTTGAACCCATTCATGAGGCAATAACAGTTCATTTAAAGTCCCAGGCGTGAAGCCAGAGGGACATCTGAGCCCAGAGCTGAAATATCTTCTGAAGAGCATGAACACGTTTTATCGATCCTGTTCAAATATCTGATTATCCACATCTTCAGTCTGATTAGAAGCAGGTGTGGTATTTACAGGTTTATCGTCCACATGAACGACCAGAAGCTTATTTTTTAAATATCTCTGTTTATTTTAACACAACCACATTTTGTTCTGAATCAGAGGCAGCCACAGATCCTAACATCTTCCATACGAACCAATCACTTTCAAACATAAAAAAGACATTTAGTTACGTTTATATATTTACATCCTAATAATAATTATTTTTATTGTGATTTGAATAGACGTGAGTTCATTTTAATCCTTGAAAATGTTGTACTCTGGATTTTTTTTTTTTTTACATAAAATCCTTCACCTCTTTTAGATTTATTTATCTTTTACATTTTGCAGGTTCACTCAGAGCTGTTGAAAATCTGGAGCTTCATTTCCCTCTGTTGTCTGGACAACAGACTTAATCTGTGCAAAGATGAATTTGTTTTTAGCAGCAGACGCCCTGCCGGGGTCACGACACGCAGCACCATCTCATGACGAGACAGGTGGTGTCCATCGTCCCACAGACTGAGACGTGTCCCCGCTCCCTCTGCTTTCACTCATCCTTTTTTTTTTTACTGCTTCTCTCGTTCCTGCAGCTCTCCACCTTCACTTTTTCTCACATTTCTGTTCCTTGACTGCCTCTACAGATATCATTTGTCTTTGGTGATTTTAGTTCTAGTGTCTCCGTCTCTTCCCTTTCTCGTCCTCGCCGGAGACCCTGCAGCCAGAATGACTGACCGTTGATGAGCAACAGTGCACTTGGACTGTGCCAATATCTACACACTTAATTAAACCCAGAGTGAGTCGGTTTGGTTTCATCTATTAATGCAGACATTTTTTTATTTTATTTTTTGTAAATTGTATGATAAAGTTGTGTTTTCAGTCACCTTTCTCCTTCCACATTAGATCTTTTGCTGGATGTAAAAAAAAAAAAAAAAACTTTTCTTTTTTTTTGTTGCAGAGCTAATGTTCCTTTTATACTAAAATGCTCATGAATAATTGCTATTCCAACAAGAATGACTTCTACAAACTAAAATACAAGAGATTTGGAGATGTAGGAGAATGCATAAATCATAACTGCCGTGACTCCGACTTTCTTTTTTTTTAGGTTTGGAAAATGATTTCATGTGGAAAACTATAAAAGAGATATTGTAAAAATAATTGTAAATATATTGATATTGTAAATTGTAAAAAAGAGGGATATGAAACTGATGTTGGACTGTAGCTTGTGAAGCTGGCAGGGTGTAAAAACAGAAGGGAATAAAGGCCTATAGTGTTTCTTGAAGAAATCACCTTTTATCAAGGTTGTACTCTAACGGCACAATCTCACACAACGCATAAAGTCTTGAGCGATGAGTATGTGTTTGGGATGACTGTCAGCTACTACCACCTCAAACATTTGTGCAATATCTTTCAAATGGAATTACTTGTAGACATCGGATGTGGCGGCCGTTTGAATTGAACTGACTGCTAAAGTTGCAGATGCACATTTAATGGCTGTGTCACTAAAATCCATCCAGCGGTTGATGAAATGTTTTTCTCACAGTCAGACACACACAGAGACGTGGACTAAAAGATCACCAGACACATTTTGCCTTTCGGCAGCAGGCGAGAAAGAACGAAAACGGCAAGAAAACTGTACATGTTGGACATTTCAGGAGAGACGTGAACGCCACTGTGCATCTCTTCATATTCAAAGCCTTTGTGAGGACTAATGCCGTCCCTTAGAGCTCCAAAACCATCCCATCATGTCATTCAGGAGGATTAAAGCGGCTAAAGCTCCCCCCTTCATTTCACAATCAGCCGCTCAGGAAGAGGAATCATTGACTGACAGCAGCAAAGGATTTATACTCTGCATGTTGCTGACGTTATATTTGAAACGCTGCATGCAGACATGGCAGAAACACAAGCCCATCGTTGTGGGGGACCAGAATGTCCCCCAGTGTTCTGCCAACCACTCACCTTCCTATCATAGTGGAGTGCTGCTGCACAGCAGCCTCCAGGAGGCGCTCCAGGATGGTCCATTCTCCCATGGCTGGAGCTGTGGGGGGGCATCCACTGGGCACAGAGACTCAGGAGGTGCACCGGTGCTGCGCTCCAACTCTTAGAGGTGAGGTAGAAAGTGGCTTCAGGTGGAAATCAGCCTCTGAAGATGCTCAGTGACATCATGGTGATCTCCACAGTTTGTTTTTTACTGGGATCTCGTAGTAAAACCCACTCTACTCCAGTCTGCAGATCTTAGATGGCTGGATTGTGCTCGCTTCACTCACACACAGTCGTAACGCACCTCCTCTTGTTTCCCTCCTCAGCCGGCTCCTGGTCTCCGTTTACCTCCTGAACAGCTGCTCTGCCATATGTTCTCACACACACCTGGTCCAGAAGAGGCCAGGCTCTCCTCTACTGCTGGTGACTTTGAGGAAGCAGCCACAGTTGGTGCCAACAGACCTCCATCAGCTGGACACTAACACTCCTCCCGTCCACACTCATCCTCTGACAGCATCTCTCAGTGACCGTGTCCAGGCTCAGGTCCACGCTCTCATGTGAGCCGGGAGAACCAGGACTCTGTTTCTCTGCTCGTGCTTCTCTCCTCCATCCTCCTCAGCCTTCCCTGTTGTTACTCTCTGATGTTTTCCAGAGATTCCTCCCTCCTCCCCCACCCCCTCTCCTGTTGCTCCTTCCTGCTCTTCAGGAGGAATGAAGCATGGTGCTCCTCCTCAGCTCAGCTCCTACGTTACGCTGTCAGACTTCTCTGTCTCTGTTTCTCTCAGCTCTCCTTTCTCCTCGCTCCTTCATCTTTGTTCCCACTCCGGGTCTCTCTCTGTTCGCCTCCACCTGCCTCCGTCTCCCTCCTTCCTCCCAGAGCCAGACCAAGCGTGAGTCTAGAGGATTAGAGAGGAATCATCTCTCAGAGCTCCTCCCCCCCCCCCTCACTCTCCATCACCATGTTTATCCCCCCCCCTCCTCCTCCTCCTCATTCTGCACATCCTCATTCTACAAACGTTGTACATTCGTCTCACACAATAATTCTCCTCTTCGTCTCTCTTTATGTCATCATCTGTTTATTACTCACACACAGCGCTGCACAAGGCAGATGTGCTGAGGCTATGCGAGGATACTGAGCTTACACAGGGGAGTGTGTGACACACTCATGATGAAATCATGAAGAACACTGAATCAGTGGTAGTCATTAAAATCTGGAGCAGTTAACTTGGAGGATGCTCCACATCAGTCAGTCATGCACACATGTTGCAAACGTAGAGGTATTCATCAGTAAATGTCAGGACGAGCGTGAGAACTGAGTGTGTCTCAGGAGATGCACACCACTGGTAGAATTAACGATATAATTACAGGCAAATTGCACATGATTCAATTACAAAGGCAATGATTATTTAATGAATGAAGTGTGCGCAGTGGAGGACTACTGAAGACAGTCAAATGGGAAATGATCACTTTAAACATATTTTGTACCAAAGCTGTCATGTTTTCAGGGTTCCTGCACATTTTCTGTTTTGTAGGTTCACTGAATGTTTCTACTGAACCAAAACATAAATGCAACACTTTTGTTTTAGCTCCTGTTTTTCACGAGCTGAGCTCAAAGATCCAAGGCTTTTTTCTATGTTACACAATAGGCCATTTTCTCTGTGCCTTAGGCTGCCCACAACAAAAGGCCACTCTAAAACGTGCAGTTTTATCACAGCACAATGCCACAGATGAGGGAGCATGTATGGGCGCAAATTCCGGTCATAAATATTTTGTACTTATAAATCACTTTTGTAACCTTGTAAAATACAAAGTAAATGTGTGATTTGTGCACGCGTGGAAAGGAATTTATATGTGCAAGAAAAATTGTATTTGTAAAGAATAATTACACGAGTTACTAATCTTTTTTGCGAAGGTCTGCAAAGCCGAAAACTATGTGCACGTCTTTGTGAGTTTAATTTTACAAGTACGAATATGCCCCTCCCTGGGCTGCCACCTTACCATGGTGGAGGGGTTTGAGTGTCCCAATGATCTTAGGAGCTATGCTGTCAGGGGCTTTACGCCCCTAGTAGGGTCACCCATGGCAGACAGGTCCTAGGTGAGGGACCAGACAAAGTGCAGCCCAAAGACCCCGATGAAGAGAAAAATAAATGGACTTAATGTTACCTTGCCCGGACGTGGGTCACTGGGACCCCACTCTGGAGCCAGGCCTGGAGGTGGGGCACACGGGCGAGCGCCTGGTGGCCGGGCTTTTACCTATGGAGCTCAGCCAGGCACAGCCCGAAGAGGAGACGTGGGTCCCCCTTCCCATGGGCTCACCACCTGTGAGAGGGGCCAAAGGGGTCGGGTGCAATGTGGGATGGGTGGTGGCCGAGGGCGGGGACCCTGGGGGTCTAATCCTTGGCTACAGAAGCTGGCTATTGGGACGTGGAATGTCACCTCAATGGTGGGGAAGGAGCCTGAGCTGGTGTGTGAGGCTGAGAGATTCTGGCTAGAAATAGTCGGACTCACCTCTACGCATGGCTCTGGCTCTGGAACCAGTTTCCTTGAGAAGGGCTGGACACTCTTCCACTCTGGAGTTGCCCCTGGTGAGAGGCGCCGAGCAGGAGTGGGCATACTTATTGCCTCCCAACTTGGTGCCTGTGTATTGGGGTTCACCCCAGTGAATGAGAGGGTGGCCTCCCTCAGCCTACGTGTGGGGGGATGGGTTCTGACTGTCGTTTGTGCTTCAAAATGATACTAAAATGTGTGTAAATTTACAATAAATTCACCACACTGGGTCTGGAGAAGTCCATATGCTGCTGGATACTGGACTTCCTCACCAACAGACCACAGGCAGTGAGAATCGGCAGTCACCTCTCCTCCACACTAGTCCTCAGCACCGGTACACCTCAGGGCTATGTCCTCAGTCCACTCATGTACTCTATTCACGCATGACTGTACCGCCAAGTACAGCTTAAATGTCATCCTCAGGTATACTCAACAACAACAACAAGAGTGTCTACAGAGGTGAGGTGAAATCATTGACCAGCTGGTGTCAGGAAAATAACCTCTCTCTAAATAACAGCAAAACAAAGGAGATGATGGTGAACTTCAGGAGTTAGTGTGGAGACCAGCACTCCACCAGCTACATAAACAGCACTGAGGTGGAGCAGGTCAGCAGCTTCAAGTTCCTCAGCATTCACTTTACTGAGGATCTATCCTGGAGTTTACAGACACTGTGGTCAAGAAAACCTGACAAAGACTCTAGTTCCTAAGAAGACTAAATAAGTTTGGTACAAACACCAGCATCCTCACAAACTTCTATATGTGCACCATTGTGAGCCTGCTGACAGGCTGCATCACAGGGTGGTACGGGAACTGCACCAGTCAGAGCTGGAAAGCTCTACACAGGGTGGTGCAAACAGCAGAGGACATCACTGGTAGCAGTCTCCACACCATCCTGGACATCTACCACAGCCAATGTCTGCGTAAAGCACGCAGCATCATTAAGGACCACACCCACCCAGCACAAAGACTCTACCATCTATTACCCTCAGGTAGACGATACAGGAGTCTGCCATTACGCATGAAAATACTAAAGGACAGTTATTGTCCACAAGCTGTCAGATTACTGAACTCTTGATAACAATACAACAACTGGCAATAACATTGCACCAAGCAACAACTGTGACAACTAATATGTTTATTGCTGCTGAACTATGTGGTTGTATCATGTATGTATCTACCTTACCATCATAATTCATCTCAATGTTACTCACTACCTGTGCAATAACATGTCAAACAACCTTTGTATGTTATGTGCAATATATATCATGTGCATTTTAGCTTATATTACTACCTTGAAATACTTACTCATACAAATTCATCCTGCTTGCACTGTTATATTCTGCCATGTTGCGGTTTACTATATTTCTTTTGGACCTTGTAAATATTATATTTCTTTTTCCCTTTTTTGGTACTTTATTTTGTACCCTTATTGCATGCTTTAGTATTTCTTGTTTGTTTTGTTTTATAGCAAGTCAAATCAGTTCTTCTCATCCTGAACATTTGATCGCATTGCTGACCTTGTGTTAATATGACAAATAAACAAACATAACGTAACAACACAAGTGTATACAATGGTGTTTCATTAGCTAAAGCAGGAGTGTCTGATGCTCATCCTCGAGGCCATGAGACAACTTCTGTTGTGGCGCTATATAAAAAAACTGAATTCTGCTTTAACACTTCTGATTTGAATAAACAGATGTCTACCAAACTTCTGCAGATCTTGAAGACACGCTCACAGTGTAAGTCAACCAATGAGTCGAGCGTTGGAGCAGAGCAATGACTAAAACTTGAGACTCTCGAGGACCAGGACTGAACACCGACGATCTGTAAACTTTTTAAAAAAATAACCACTCTCAACACTTAAAAAAAACTTTCCAGGATTGTTAAACTTATTTTGTCACCAGGGTTCAACTATGGTTCAATTAACAGTAAAACAGAAGAAAAAAAAACGTAACTTGAGGTATACTGGAACGACGTCATGAATCAGGCAGTCCTTGCAATGGAAGCAACTGTCTTGTCCAGTAAGTCCAGTAAACACATGGAGGGCAGTGGACCAAACCACAAACATCTGATTTATTAGAAGGTAACTTATTTTATCACCCAAGGCACAAACACTCATGAAACACGCACAAATCTGCAAAAAAGTCATCAATCAGCAAAAATGGAAATTGAAGGATAAATCATTAAACTCAAGGATTTCTGTCCATTTTTAAAGGTACTCTTTGCAAAATATAAAATACAACATATCCTTAACTATATGAAGTGGCACAGTTTGAAAAAGTTTAGTGATTTTCCAGATTTATTGCTATTCAGTTCAGAAATGCAGGTACGCACTCATTGTAAACAATGCACATATTTAGGATATTAGGACATATTTCTTGTCGTTTTGCGGTTTCCGTAGAAACGGATGCATGTGACGAGGACAAAAAGCACAGATTTGGTTTATTTCTTTACTGAAAAGTCTTCATGACATTTCATGAGTATCTGTATTTATAATTATTATATGAAACACTTTGCTCATCTGTAAAATTTTTAGAAGTTTGGATTTTTACAATTTGAACATTAAGAAATAGTCTTAAAACTGTTTTATTTCTGTTTTTTAACTCTCTTCCACACCTGCAAATTACTAAAAAATATATATTTTTGAGACGGGGACA